GATGAGGTTGGTCGGTAGGAGATGGAGGTGCGGCTTGAGGTGGGAGGCGGGGATAGGTGGGAGGAAGAACAGGTTAGGGAGATCCTTCTATCCGCCTCCCACTCTCTCCCTATTTATTTCAAAACCCCCTTCCCCTCCCCCTTTTCTGATGAAGGGTCTAGGCCCGAAACGTCAGCCTTCCTGCTCGTCTGATGCTGCTTGGCCTGCTGTGTTCATCCAGCCCTGCACTTATCTCAAATATTTCACTGCTCACTCTAAAGCAAAATGGCAATTTCAATACAAAGTCAAAGATCTTTTGAACAATTAATTGAAGAGTGCTCCAAAAGTGAAAAATTGTATCTAATACACAAATATACAGGCAATGATCACAATAATAAGAGACAATTAAAATGAAGACCACTCAATCTTTGGAATAAATACCTTCAAATGAGTCTTCTCAAAAAGCATCCGTATGATGTTCACAAGAGGACAACTCAATGCCACTTGGACATATTTCAACAACTATGACTTTACTCAATAGGGGATTTATGAAAAGGCAAAAAAAGTCCTTCATTCATTTAACAAATTTCAATTAAGCCACTTTAAACACCCAATTGAATGTTACATGTCTTTTAGCATGCAATAATTTAACTTCAAATGAAATTGTTATTTCGTATGCCCAGTTTTGCAGAAATTTTTTGATAAACTATTTTACTCAGTCAAGAACCAAACATTTAGTTATCACAGCATATATAAAAGCAATTTTAAAAAAGTGCACTTCAGCAAAAACGAGGCTTTCATATCCTACTTTTTAGAACGTTGCTAAACATGCAAGCTCTTCCTCAGTAGCAATGACAGCATTTTTGACAAGTCTTTAGCAAAACGTTTTGCTGTTAAGTTCACAACTGCATGCTGATACCAAAGATAGACAGACAGCTTCAGAAATAAATTTGGATCAAAAAGTCAAGCTTAGCTAATTGGGTTCAAGTTTGGTTAGAGCCTGCAAAAATGTTGATGCTATATATTTTGAGTGAGTGGATTCGCTACTAAATTCCTTGTTTCACTAAAATCATTGAAACTGCGTAATGTGCACTAGTTCGCTGAATGGACAAGTTCAATACACAATACAATACAAGCTTTTACTTCCTGCGGGTGAATACAAAATCGCCATTTAGATATCCATCATGTTGTTGCCAATGCCCTGATCACCATTCCAAAGGGCATTGACATTGTGCAGCACTCCAACTGATTAACTCCATCAGGTCTCATCACTGTCACATCAATGCTGCTGTCATCATACATTATCTCTCATGACTGCGCAAATAAAAATGTTTTAGTTGTGAATCATGCATGATAGCAAAACCCATCAAAAGCAGAGGCACTAATTAGACCAATAAGCTGAAGTGTGATATCAGCAATGCTGTTAAAGCAGCAGTAAACAGACAAAGTTTAAATCAGAGACAGTAGGAACTGCAGATGCTGGAAAATCTGAAAATCAAGGTGTCGAGCTGAATGAACTTCTGATGAAGGGTCTAGGCCCGAAACGTCAGCCTTCCTGCTCCTATGATGCTGCTTGGCCTGCTGTGTTCATCCAGCTCTACACCTTGTTAGGCAAAGTTTAAATATCTTCTTCTGGACCAGTGGGATTAGTTATCTTCTAACCACAAGTTGCCTGGCCTAATCTTATTCACCCTCCCACAGCCAATTCTCTTATTCATTTGCTCCTCTGCACTGCTGAAGGTGCTGAATATTTGTTGCATTCCTGCTACTACATAGCCCAAAGTTTTAACCCAAAAAGCACAAATATGCTGTGACCACAGGGAACATCACTGGCAAGTTAGTTTTGTCCTCATTTGATCTAGAGACTTTTGTTCAGGGTATTGATTAACTTCAGGAAAAATAATTTTCATGTCTACTTTAAGATGATATCAACAATTCTAACATTGAGCACAGTACCAGCTGGCATCAGTTAACTCAGCACAGCCAGGAATTAAATTGCTTAGCCAAAGATTACTATCAGCAAGAGTGCAAATGCGATATTATTTTGATATTTTCAATCCGTGGTAAATGAATTACTGGACAATTACCAAAACACTTGTATAATTTTGGAACTACAGACATTTAAGTCATATCCGTCTTACCTGACATTAAAGAAAATTGCCCTTAGCAAGTTTGGTACAGAATTGAAGTACAAAAGCAACTAGGGACTAATTCCATTGTTACGTACTTTTTTTTAAAAAAAAATCAGGAACTTTTAAAAAGAAAAAAAAATACAAAGCAGACTCCAGTTTCCCTTACTTAAATATACAAAAAAATGAATAAACCTTCAAGTCGTCTTTGACGAATGATGTAGTAACATCAAGGAACAACATTTTTTGTTCTAGCTTCATAAATTGGGTAAAGTTAAATCTAAACCCAGGCTTTAAGTTTGTGTGCACATATTCTAATGTTTTTCTCCTTTAAGTAAAAATATTTTAAGTGCATGTTTTCATTTGTTATTGATCAGATGTGATTGAAATCCAAAAGCCAGTATCGCATTACTGATGCAATACTTCAGTTCCTACATATGTTTTTAAAAAATCCAAAAACATTCACTTTCAAAAGATTTCAAGTTATGACAAATCAGCAGAGTATTTACAAAGTCATGAAGACATATGTTAAGAGATTGGCAAAAGGTCTCATCTTCTAGAAAAACAAGATTTAAACAAGTGTCTGAAAACAAATGGCACTATAATGTCGGTAATTTTGTAGTCTGTCCTAGGGTAAGAAACAGTACTGTACTTCGTATCAAAGTCTCCTGAAGGGTGATCTCAAAAATTAGTTTGCCTTGAAGACATAACATTTCTCTTTGGTGCTCACAATCCAAAATGTTACTTAAAGGGCACTTCAGCATTGCCTAATTAGATCCAATATTGAAAACCAGTCACACAACTCTTTGAACCAACTGGCCAGCCCAGTTAAATGGAGTAGATTAACTTGTTGACCTTTTTGCTTTCCTCAGGTATCTTTCTACATAAAAAAGGAAGAAATTTTTGCATACTCCAGTCTGGACAAATACCAAGGTTTTGAAAATGAGAAATGGGGACCATGATATATGTTGCACTGGTCAGATGTTAATATTCAGTACTCAGTTTCATACGAATGTACATTTCAGCAAGCATACAAGTTGGAAGACTGAGCAAAATATATGATAACCTAAGAACAAGTGAAAGGGCAAAAAGAATGAACAAACTTAACTTCAGGGCTCTGGGTGGAGACAAGGGGAAGAGATTTCCTAAGACCCAAATTCAAACCTACAGATTTGCAGTCAAAATTTTTGAAATTCACCCTTTACTGTATGACAGATCAAAATGGGGAATAAGAAAATTGATTAAAAACTCACTTGTGGCTGAACCGAGTAGGTTTTTTGAGGATTTTTCTTCTCGGGTGCCATAATCCAGTGGGTAATCTGTTTGATAGCAATGACATTACATTTTCACAACAGCTACATGCAAACATTAGATAGTATAGAGCGCATAAGCTGCTAGTTGAAGAACACAGCTGTCAAAATTGCTTCCAGATTAAAGATTTCCACACAGTCGGTGTAACTGTAGACAAAGCCATTCTCCATTTTTGAAACAAATGCATACTGTAGTTTTGCTTTCCATGAGCCCAGAATCAATTTCAAGACTCTGGAAAACAATGCAATTACATGCTGCCAAAATCCAAACACAAAACAGGAAACAAAGAAAGCCGACACTTTTCCTAAATTAAGAACAAGCTCCTGTTTGCGTAAGCTCATTTCCCTTTATCAGACCTTCAGGTCTCTTCAAGGCACCATAACTAAGCAAGACTTCCAAAGCATGTCACCTCAACTGCCTTCTACAATTTCCCAGGCAGTGGAATCATTAGCCATTCTTATTCGTGGTCCACGAATTTTGGAATGGTTGGTGTCGTCTAAATGGGAAAAGCAGCCAATGACTGCCAGATAAACAGCAAAGTACAGAGGATGCTGGAAAATAAAAGGTGAACAGAAAATGCTGGAAATAGTTTCCAGTGACTCTTGTGGATAGAAAAACAGTTAAACATTTTGGATTGATGAACATCCTGAACTGTCACATTTGCATTAAGTGATACTTAAGTTCCAGCTTTGTTTTAATCATCCCCTCTACTATAATGAAGTGTATATTGAGGATAAGGGGTTGCCATTATACTGTCCAAGGTGAAGCTCAAATATGATCAACTAGATCCATTTTTAAAAAAAATCTACATTTTTCCTTACGATGTAATTTACGCTTAAGCCATCATTCTACTTCCTGTATTGGTATAGAAGTTCCAGTTCTGAAGGGCCACTGAACTTGAAATGTTACCTGTGCATTCTCTCCACAGATGCTGCTAGACTCACCAAGTTTCTCTAGTGATTTGTTTTTGCACCATTCAACATAGCATGTCTAATGGTGACCAAGAACACAAAACAAGAAATTGTTACACACAGATGTATTGTATCTTATTTTTGAAAGACTACTTTGGAGCTACCATCTTTATTCTAAAGAAAAAAGGTCTCACTCCACCAAAGCCCTTCTCTCCATTCTCAAGCTGCCCATTTGGATATTTATCTAAATTGAGTACGTTTGAAAAGGTGCCTTGACTGACCAAAGCAAGTTAGATAACTGTGCCTCATCATACCAGAAGTGTTGTACAGAAAATGACATTAGGTACGCAGATGCAAGGATAAAAAAAAAAGCTACATTTGTAGTTAAGTGCTCTATTTTAAACAAGTCATAGCAAAAAGAGAAAATTAGGTACAGCATGCTCTTCAGTATCAAAAATAACTTCAAAGTCATGGTTCAGATTAAAATCCCATGGGTTTTTTTAAAAAAAAAGAAAGCTTTGTATTGCCTCAAATTTCTATACATTGTGTTTATTCAAAAGATCACATTACAATTACAAAAGCAGCAAATTTGAAGAATCTCTCACTTCCCTTAACCATTGGTCTGATTTTTTAGTATGTTCATTACTTTGAACTGATTTATATTAAAAAAAAATACATTCTAATGCTTCACAATACTCCCCTGGAACATGAATTTTATGGGATACGAAATAATCATTTAATTCTGCTCAGACTAGAGAAAAGGAAAAAAGTCAACTTTAAAAGTATTGGGACTTCCAACCTAAAAATCAATTCTTTGGGCAGAAATTTAAGACAACTCAATGTTGGATTACTTCAGTTATAGCCAATCAATTATCTTAACTAAAAATTGTGTCATTCCTGGCTCCGTTGTAGGACTCTCTGTCATGCCAGGGACTGGAAGAACATTGACAGATACTTGAATATAGCACTCCAACAGTACTATGCTGCCGGAGATGTGATTTTTTAAGCAAACCTTAAATTACTTAGCCCAGTTGCTACCAGGTCCCGTGGTTCGATACAACAGAACAAGAGGGAGATACCTTTGTGATCTAGTTAATATTAACCCCTGAACCAACAGCTCATCATCTCATTACCGCTTATGAATCAGATGTCATGTTTCACCACTTAACAGCAGCAACTGGAGTACTGGTGAGGATACATTTTGTCAAGATTTTTCATCTTGCATTCAACAGGATAATTCACCAAGATAACAATAAAGGACAAAAACACTTCATACTCTACGACAAGCGCTAATTGGTCTATGTATTGATATAAAGAATGCAGCAGTTAGTGACAATTAACAATCAGGTTTGTAGCAAGAGTATCCAACATTAGGTGGGATTCTGCAATTTAACATTTGCTGGGGAATCCTGACTGTACAGAGAAGTATTTAAAACTAACTTTTTAACCACCTTGCATGCATAACTGCTCTGCAAAAAACAGGACTTAAACAAAAAAAAAGTAAAACAAATGAAGTCGCCATAGTATTACTAGACCATGGGACTGATTTCTCAGAGAGGGGCAATTAGTGGTATTTAACAAGGCTCACCATGCCTCAGGTGAGGCGAGAAGGGAGAATCCTTCATCGTAACCTCAGCCAGTGCAGGAATTGTATCCCACGGCATTAGCATCACTGAATTACAAACCAGCCATTTAGCCAACTGAGTTAACCAACACCCCCCCTTAAATGAAGTTTACAAACTTCAAATATAACAGTGTTTAACAGTTATTTCAATTTGTCTGCCATATCTGTGTTTTTAACAGGTCATTAAAACCAGGCCAGTAGCTAAAAGCATTTTACAGCAATGAGATTGTTTCATGTAACAAAGACAAACATTAAAAATCATATTTGCAGTTTTCATTTACTAAAGCTAATGATTATACATTGAAAAATTAGTGAAATTAACATTCAAGTAAAAGATTCTATTAACTTCCTTTGACACCTCAACTTAAAAGTAGCTAACAGTAAACCCCCATGAAGACGGAGATACCATTTTAGAAAAGTCATACCATAATCTTCATCAAGATATTCAAGGCGTTCTGCATTGTACTGTGATTCTGCAATTTCTTCGTATTCCTCAACCATGCTGGTACCAAACACCCTGCAAAGAGTTTACTGGCATTATTAATATTGTAAAGTAGTTCAAGAACATCAGCCAATAAGCCACCTCACCCTCAGTCATGCAGTGTTCTACCGTCAGCCCTCTTTTACTTGCAAGGGAAGGAAGCAAGAAAATAAGTTGCAGGAAAGCCAAGTTAATTCAACTTCATAAAGCAACTGAATGATTGAAACTTTATTTGGATTCAAATTGTGCACTGCTTCAATTGTTTATATTTTTCCCTCCAATTCTTTTGGTTTTTGTACCTTCAAATAACTTGCAAATCAAATTGATTTTGGTTTTGGATTTTTGTAACTAAGACTGCTTCAAAATAATAGTTACACATGAAATAAATTGCAACCTGTTCAGCACAAAAAAAAAGCTTGTAAACTACCAAAGCCTACAGTTTGGATGCCTCAAGTTTAGCAAATTACTTCACTAGGACACACTTCATTGCTTTGATTCTGTTGGAAGTTAAAATCTTCATGCATTGCACTTGAATAAGTAACAAGTTACCAAGACTATCTCAAATCAAACAAAGGTACATTTTTATCCAGGTTTGTCTTTGCTGCAGCTACCTTCCACTGTGTTTGTTTTCCATTTGACAACTGCCACAATTAAATCACATGCTAAGCCCTTTTTCCACAGAGCAATCCTTAGGAAAGACACCTGACTCAAATGGTGACCCTTTTAAAAAAAAACTTAACACTGGTTCACGCAGTCAATAAATCTCAAGTATTGCCTTACCTTATGAGGCTAAGGGGACAGAAGTGTTCTGACCCAAAGTGCGATACTAATTCCACCTAGAAAAAAGACAAATACTGAATTGGCATTAGCCAACAAATCAAGTAAGCATTTAAAGATAAAAATGTGGAAAGTTCTTGCAAGTGAATTTCCAAATTAAATAGACGCCAGAACAAAATATTTGGATAACAGAAAACACGTTAGCATGTTACTTCAAGTGAAATTTGTGAAAACAACAAAAAGGGAAACAACTGCAGGAGGTAAACATTTGTATTGAACCAGTCTTACAACTTGCAATGTACATATGTGCGTAAAAGGGTTCTCTAGCTTAACAGACGTGAAAGCATCTCCCAAAAAAATTGAAAAATTTTATTGCATCCCAATGTTCTCTGAAAGCAAAGCGAAATGCCTTCAGACATTTATCTATCAAGTCAAACCAAGAGATCCGCAACTGTTTATATGTGGAATAAAGTTTAGAAACACAGCCTCCGACAAGCCAAAACAACCTTCGCTACTTGTCTCAAACAAATCACTAAAAACTGAAATGCAATCAAAGTATGGGATACTCAAGAAATCAAAATAAGCTCATTGGAAGCTGTAAGACTTGGGTTTAATGATGAGCCCTGGTGAGTTATTTATTGAATGTGATTAGGATGATATGATTTATCTACAGCACAAATGAATTTCAACTGATGAATCACAAAAGTTGGGATAGGTTGGAAATGAGATCACAATTCCAAGCAATTCATTGAAGTTCTACACAATGCAGTTTCATTTTGCACACTATTTCAAAGAACAACAAGATTTAAAAGGAACATATGATGAATTCAAATAATTCACAAAATGGGTCACGTAACAATGTTCTGTGAAATGTGCTCATATTTAGTTCCCTTCAAAAAGGAACACCGTGGGAGGAGGAGCACAGACATTCAAGAATGTTACATGCTTGAAAATATTGTCTTTTTAAAAAAAATAATTTGCAGATGTTGACATTGATGGCTGGTCAGCATTTATTGCCATTCCTAAAAAAAATGCCCAGATGGTAGTTAACAGTCAACTACAGGGGTTGGAAGTCACATTGGCCAGAGCAGTCAGGACAGTCGTTTCCACATTGGGGTTTTCCATTAATTCATCAGATAATTGGATCAGATTTTCATGGAATTTAAATTTCATTATTGCTATAGTGGAATTCAAACCAGGTTCCCAGAATATTTCTGTTTATTGCTGGATTGAAACATCATTTAACCCTTCAATCCCAGCCCCCCACCCCTTCCCAACCAAAGTATAACCAATTCAGAAAATGGCTCTTTTTTAAAAAAACACGAAAGCTGTTGACCATTAGGGACTCCAGTTTGATGAAAAGTAGGTAGATTCCAAAACACTGCTCTAGTATTTAATATACACTTAGCACTTGTTTTTATTTCTGAAAATAACCAAGTTAACAAAGGCTCAAAAATAAAAAGAAAACTTTAAAATTAAGCTAGCCAATTTGGCTTTTGATAGATGCAAGGATAAAATAAAAACTAGTACTTACCCTTATAAATGTGAAAATCAAGTCAAAAACTCAAAATCAGGCAGCAGCTGCCTGATACAATGCTATATATTTACACTTGGAAGTTTTCAGCATATATTTCAAAAGTGTAATTAAAGCACATTATAAATCAATCAACTTTTAAAATTTGAAAATGGGTTTTGGTCTATCACATCGTGACACTGGAAACAAAGTTCTACTGAAATGAATTAGTATTATTCAAAACACCAATTCAGTGCTTCAGAAGCGCACAAAGCTGCACTAAATTTTCCATCACTTCATGCAGAATATTAGTGGCAACTTACCCATTTCATTGGAAGATTAGACTTGTTAGCCTTATTAGATTTTCACCAAACTTAGTGTTCTTAGGGTAACTCAATATTTAGTGACAGGAAGTGCAGCAATAGAAAAATCCCCACTGATGCAAGCATGTTTATTTTACTAATGCATGTATTAAATTTTGTTAATAAAAGCATGCAATGCTGGACTTGGTGCATGTTTGGAGCGCCTCCGAAAAGGACCATTTCGCATGTTTAACTTCTAATAATGCTAACCTTTATGTATTTGATGAACATCTGAAGCAAGAGAAAGGGAGAAAAAAAGGATGTCAGTAAGAGTAGTAACAGTCAAGATAGATAACTACATGCTACAAGCTCGCAGTACAATAGATTCCAATTTTCCCAGGTTTTCTCCAAATACTATGTTCTCAAAAAGTGGCCTGAAAGAATGATCAAAATAAACAACACAATCTCTATCCAGATATTCAAATCTGGAAAAATTACTAAGCAAGAGCGAAATCTTGAAAAACATTGAAGTAGTTCTGGAAAATAATTTATGCAACCATAAATTTTGCTCATTTTTGAAGGCTTTATAAAATATCTTCAGCCTTTCATATACATTACATTAATTTCCATTTGATCTTATATCAGCACTGTTATCACAATTTCAAACAAACATTCTCTAGCCACATAGTCAGTGACATAGTAACTGCAAGTATCAACTAAGTGTAAAAGAGGTCTTACGCTGAAGGATAATTCTTCAGTAAATATATCTTCAATAGACACCAAGTCAGAAGATCACACATCCTAAACAGCCAACTCAAACCTTACAACCTTAAAAAGGACTCTTGCCGAGTTGCTAAGGAAGTCATTGTATTGTACTACAGTGCCACATTTTGCGGAAGAGCAGTAAAGAAAGCAAGCAAGAAAAGTACACCTTTTTGGTTAAGCAAAGGTAGTCATAAATGCTTAGAGAAGTCTGCATTTCAGGGAAAGCACTAAACACTTAAATTTTCCAAATTTTAAAATGAAACAGATCAAGCCAATCAAGAAGCAAACAATGCACTTGGAGGTGAGTGGGCTATAATGCAACCTTAAGTTTTTTTGGCATAGGTTTCAAAACAATCAAGAAATTTTTCATCTTGGGAAAAGCTATCATTTTGATTAATTTTTCAGCATATTTGCATATCAATGCTTTTAATGAATTGTGCTACTTGAAAACTCCCTCCAGTGGTCTGTCTTGCAGTTCAAAATACTATTTAGATTCCATTTAAAAAATACACGTGAAACTGCCAGGCATTGAGACTATACCATCAATTGGCTGACTTCAGTGCTGTTATTTGTCTTCTGTGCAAATCTCTGCACTACAGTCTAGGCCACAAGTCCTAGATTTTGTCATAAGAAGTTACTTCAAAATGTTAGCTTTTAAAACAGAAGGACAAACTGAGCAGTTCTACAAAATAGAATGAAGTGCCCTTCAAGAAGGATGCTCATACTGCAAATCCCCAGGAGGTTTCAACAGCAAAATCAGCTTGCTGAATTTACCACGATTAGTCAAGCATCTTTAAAAAAGGAAAATTCCTTTTCTAATCAGAACAGGTCACAGGTATTTTTATATTGGGTTCTTTCTGGGTCCACAGGTTTGTATGCAAGGAACTGGTAACACAAGCAATTCTTGGAGACAGAGAGAGTTAGGGGTGGGGGGTGAAGAGGAAACAGCTCAAAAACACAAACTCATTAACAGCACGTCAATGGAGCCGACAGGGGCAAAGTAACACGTCTGAAAAAATTGAAAAGATAACTGAACATTTCATTAAGAATGGTTTTGAAACTATTTCAGTCGACCAAAAGCAAATTTCAAAGAATGTCAATCCTTACAATTTTCATTTTATTCTCGATATATCTGTGCACAAGTCACTCCAAAACAAAATGCTAACTTGCATTGTAAACCAGATGAATGTAGATCATTATGACACACGTGATCTTTATAACTAGTACAGCATTTAGCATTGAATGCTGGCCCCGAACAACTGAAACCATACTCGGGACTGTGTTTGAAATAAAATTCATGTGGAGATAGCTGAAAATAAGAACCTGATGGTAAACAGAACAAAAATTAATGAACAGGTGAAAAACCACTAAAAAAAAGCTTTACATTGTGAACTCAACCGTTTAAGCTAAAAATGTTTCTGCACAGCATTTAGGATTATATAATAACTTAATAAAGCTTAACAACATGGACACCATTTGCACATCTGGCGGATAATACAGCTTGCAATGCCATCAAATTCTTGGAAACAAAGTTTGCCATCAAATAAGATAACAGTTATTTGTTTAAGTTACAGTAGACTTTCAAATAGTTGGTAAATTACTATTTACATTTTTCCCTCCCATTCTAACAACTTTTACCTTGACATACTTGGCATACATTTGCTCATCTAAAGGAAAGCTTTGCACAGTTCTCTCATCCAGAGCATGGAATGTTCCTAGTTTAACCCATTTATTAGTGGGATATCTGTGCATAAATATGAAGGAGAGAGAAATAAAATAAGGACAAATTTTAAATTAAGTGTTTAATACATCTGAAAAACTGGCAAGAATAAAATTCAACTTTCACTGGGCCTTGTATGGTGCGGTGGTCGCATCCTAACCTCTCAGCTAGAACGTCAGAGTTCAAGTCCCATGTGCTCCAGAGCTGTGTCATAATATATCTGAACAGGTTGATTAAAAAACCTTCAACTTTCATAGAGGGAGACGTGTAGAAAATCAGCTGTCCAATACACCCAGATACTACATAAATGGATGAAAATTGAATTTTATTCACTGAGGAGTTAAACCAAATGTATTTTTTTTGGGGGGTGTACTTCGTCAACGGTTGCATTTACACTGATTTTTTTTTTTTTTTTTTTAAAATACACTTCATACATCTTTTATACAGACTCTGACTTAACACACCTGTCACTGATGGAAACCAGAAAGTCCTTTGGCGTAGAAGAAAATAACTCGAAATTTGCAATGTCAAGCTGTCTGACTTGGATTGGCTCACACAGCTCTATTACAAACCTGTGGAAAGAACGACAATTACACTTAATATGACCATCTGTAGCAGTGCATCACCCATGTCAAAAAGTCAGATGTAATATATTAAAACGTCAAGTTGTATTCACTTCCAAGTGAAACTATTTTTGTAACATTTCCATTTCTGCATTGTTTCCTTTCAGATTTTAGGAATTACAACTTACCAGATTTTTGCGCTGCATGGGTTTAACATGTACAGGTCCATATTTTCCATTAGAATTGCTGAATTGCTCTGCAAGTTAGAATTGCAATATACAGAATTAACATTTTATATTGGTATATGGCCAAGTGCAGCTGCTCCCTATTGCTTTTGCAATATATCAACACTTTTGACAAGCACCAGGGAAATGCAAAGTTTGAAGTTTCGCCATTCACTCATCCTTTATAACTAATGAACATTTACAATCAGAAGGAATTAGGGAACTGGAGAATAATTTTCGTGCTCAGCATCAGTATGCATTTCCACAATATCTACAACACAACCACCTACATTTATATATCATTTTCAATGTAGTAAAAGATTTTGATGTGCTTGCTATGTCATACAGCAAATTACAATGCTCACCTACGAGTTAACCTCCAACCAGGAAAGGAAACCTTTCTGCAATGTGAATTTGCTTTTTGTTGCCCACATCAAAATCCTTATGTGCTTAGTGAACGTACCGAGACTTAACATTGGGTAATAAACAAAAAAAAAAAAAAAAAAAAAGAAGAGTTGATCTACTATTCATCTAGCATTTCCAACTGGACTGAAATTAGAACCCAAGCCTCAAAACTCAGTGCACTAACCCATAGTCATCTGACTGTGTTTGGATACAAACCCAGAATATCACCATTTGACATGCAAGACAAAAACTGTCAACTTAGTGTTAAATAATTTATTTCCAAATTACTAAGAGGAAACCAATTTATAAAAGCACTAGGTACATTGCATTGAGTGCATGATTAATCATCCCAAATCCTGTTAAGTTTTAACTCAATTATGAGTTTACTGTGATTTGTAATGGATACATGCGGAATTGAATAGGTTGCAAAAAAGAGGCTGAAGTAAAGAGGCTGCATTTTGTGTTCCTTCAGGGATAGTTAGAGGGGCAGGCAGGAAGCAAGAGCAAGAAGCATGTAGATTGTTATAGTATCAAATAGTCAAAAAATAAACAAAGTCAAAATCACAATTTCCACTGGTTGATGGCAGAATTTAACCAATCGTTAAAAAGGGTATTTAAGCCGCAAGTCACCAGTCCAAAGTTATCTGGTGAATTCTGTTCATATTTGAACGAATACAATAATTTCACATCGTTCAAATTTCCATGGTGAAATGGCAGACAAGAAAATGCTGTTTTACTGAAGTTAACTACAGAATGGAATAATCCAGAAAGCAACTTTGGGGTTTCTTACAGTTAACCCTGGAACATGCCCACTTATTGTACCATTTATCCAGAAATAATTAAATTCCATTAGTCTCACCCTTTTATGACAGGAGGCTCTGGACTAATGTGGAAGTGATGGCCTAATGGTATTATTGCTGGAGGCCCAGGTAACATTGAGGACAATTCAATCAAAATCCGGATTTGAGTCTAATGACCATAAATCCATTGCCAGACTGTTAGGAAAAACCCACTTGGTTCTCTAATGTCTTTCAGGGAAGGAAATTGCCAACCTTATCCAGTCTGGACTACATGTGACTCCAGACCCTCTAGGCAATTAGGAATGGGCAATAAACACTGGCTTGGTTAGCAATGCTCTCATCCCATGAATTAATGAAACAAATTTCACTTGCTGCCCTTCCATTGACAAACCCCAACTCAGCCAAAGCTTTGCTAATTCCTATTTGTCCAACATCAGTCCTCACTGATCTACATTGGCTCGCTGCTTTCCAAACGCAAAATGCTAGTTAAGTTGTATCTCTGCAAGCTTTCAGATCCATCGTACTCATATCACAATCGATAGCAGAGCCCCTATTATCAACATCTCCCCCCACCCTCTCCACTTCTTCATTCTTCTCCAGAGATATCAAACCACAGTTCAACCAGATTTTGGTCATCCTTCCAAATCCATTTTCTGGCTTAGTGTATTACAGTTACCTAGAAAGTACTTTCAGATATTTTTGTTTACTTTTTTTTTTTTTAAAATGGCCATATAAATTCAAGCTCTTAAGTCACCCTCATGAAACCAGCATTACAAATTCTGTGCACAACTCTTAGAATCAGAAACACGTAGCAGCACAACTGAAGCATCAGTGTAACAGGATACAATATGCATCCTTAAGGAGACACATTCATCATCTGTATGCTAAAATCAACAGTTAAGGAAAATGTACTGCTGCTGAAAATAAAAACTTTTGTCAAAAGTTCTGTTGTGCACTCATCAGGACATTAACATTCGATGACGTAACCTTTGATAATCCAAAAGGAGAAAACCTTTCATAAAAGTATGGTTTTTTTTCAGTAATACTTAACTCCAGCATTAGCAAACGAAAAAAAGAAAAAGAATAATACCTTTGCTTCTGGATTTGCAGCCAGAATTTTGGCTCCACACTCCACAGAGGCATAGTTATTGAAGTTTTTCTGTAGCTTTTTCACAGAATGTAGGACACCACTAGAGGTATGCAATGACTGGCCTGAAAGAAAGTCATTTATATTATACAAAACTGTTCTTGCATTGGCCCCAATCACAAGTTGCCAATTTTCACCTCTTTTCTTCCAATTCAGTTACTCTTCAATTTCTATATTTGACAAAAAAAATCACATTGACTCAACTTAAATTCACCAAAATGCCACAGTAGTGATAAATTTAAATTGGCTTCCCATTTTTGAACGCCAGAAGTAATTCTCAAAAGGTTATGCAAATAAACTAAGGCTAATATAATGAGGGAATCTACATTATACAAACCAGGGAAGCACATTTAAAAACGTGCAGACACCATTTAGATTTAATAATTTTTACATAGAATGATCAAAGTATAAAATCAACTGCATTGAAATAGATGGTGTGGACAAGGCAAAATTAGATGTTTGAGCAGCGCACAATTTTGGAACCAGATTGATGGCACTGCACTGCATCGTCTCAGTTAGTTATTTTACAGGTTTCTATTTCCTCAGGTAAGCTCAAAAATAGATTTCAGTGACCAGTGTATTTTCAATGCTTACTTTTCTCTTTTTCTTCTTCCATCACTTTCTTTTTCCATTCATCAAATGAGGGAATGTCTCCTGAATCCTTGGATGGAATCACAGAAGAAGAATCACCAGGATCCGCTGCTCTTGAAATTTCAGTATCCTACATATCCCAAAGAAAGTAGTTTAAATTCATCCAAGCTTGGATGTAAAACATTAGGATGCTTGGCACTGATATGCTATACTGTGATTGCAAAGACAAGAGAGGTAGCTATGTAGGATGAAGGGCATTTAGTACACTTATTATGCTGGTTTTTCAATTGTTTACTTTGGCTTCAATGTCTTAATTTATACAATAGATTGAAAACATTGGAGACATTCTTCTGGTGCAAAGTCTGCCATACCTCCAGGGCAAATCAATTATTTTGTTTGCAGTTATTTAAAAAAAAAGCTGCAAAGGCTGGCACTTTTAGTTGCAAAAAAAAAAACCAGGTTCAATGATTTTAGAAAGTTTTACAAATGGACTCAATACTGCACCTCAACCAGGCTACTAGAGCAGCTGATGGCCAGACATGGCACAAAATGACTGCCTGTGGAGTTGGCACATAATTAGCAAAGATGATTTTTAGTGATAGCGATAGAAATAGCTTGTTTAGTTCAGCATTAAGGGGAGATCATATGTTAGGACAATAGTAGTTTGCACAAGATAAATCCAAGGTAACAAGATCCAGGTGAAACCAAGAATCTTACTAATTAAAATACAAGGAGTTTTGCACAAACCCACAGCTGCAGACGTTTATAATAGACAGTCTGATAAGATGATGCCTGGGAACAGACAGCCAGCCAGAGTTTGTAGTTTAGCAAGGATTAAAAGAAAATTATGATCCCACAATAGACTCTTTACGCAATTGTATTACTTAGTTTCTCAATACTCAATCTACATCTAACGTTAATAAATTTGGCTGAATTCCTTTAAACAGAAGGAAAAAGAGCTATAGAGAGTGGAAAGGAATCTCCAGTCAAAAAGGGGGACTGAAATGACAAATAGGAAAAAACAGAACTTCTGACAGGCACCAGCTTGACTTCGAGAAAAACAATGGCAGCTTCACAATCTAAATAAGCAAACCTAATTAATAATGGGGACAACTCAAATGAATTTGTACATCCAAGGATCAGGAGAGGAAGGACAGAGTCAAATTATAGGATAAAAAGGGGAATGAGAATATATTTTGTAAAACAGGAGGTCAAGCAAGCTTATGGAGCTGTGAACAGGACAGAGTTTCAATCTTTCATGGAATTTAAATAGATGTTGTATTAAGAAAAAGAGTTAATGTAGAAATTAGAGTAGGGACGGTAAATTTCATCTTAGGAGCAATCTCCTGTTTAAAACACACAAAGCATGTGAATAGAAGGGAGTCATCGTTGCAGCTGCCAGGTAGAGAGGTAGTGTTTATCGGACCTCCTAAAGTGGGACAGAAGCTGCTCATATCTTGTTGGCTAAAAAAATTCTAACATTAGGTGTAACCATAAAATTTCATAACTAACGTTCTACGAGAAGAGAAGATGAATTTTACAGCAATTAGTAGGAATTAGCATCTTTTTGTATCTACTGCGATTGGGATAGTGGGAAACAAGATGAGCAACAGATTTTGATGTGATAGCAATGGATGCAATGAACAACAATTCAAAAACTGTCCTTAGAGAAGCAAGTCTGGTAAGTGTCTGAGAAACCAAAAAAAAGTATAACCATTAACACTGGAATGTAATGCAGTGCAGTATACTGCAAGATCCCACATGCTACGTGAAGAATCCCAGGGCACCAGGAATCCAACCATGACAATATCAGGTGGAACTAGAACATAGAACAGTACAGCACAGTACAGGCCCTTCGGCCCACAATGTTGTGCCGAACTTTTACCCTAAACCTAACGGCTATCTAACCTCCACCCCTACCTTATACT